CCCACAGTCACGAGAGGCTAGGCGAGGAGATGCGTGCATCGATGTGAGTGATATGGAGTTGGTCTCGCCCAGTCACACGACCACCAAGTCACGCCCACCAACTAAGCCATGCCCACAGAACCGGTTGTTAAAAATTTTCAATCCCACCCCTGGTTTTCCCTCGTTTTCTCTATAAACCTTGCTTATTCCAGAATTCCAACATTTCTGCATTGTAGGATTTTAAAAAACAGTCTTGTTTTGTTAAGTGGAGGAAATTTTAATGCAGTCTACCTTACGTACCTGTCATTCTGTTTTAAAAGTTGTACAAATAGTCTTCAGGCTTTTTCTCTTTCCACTCTGTGATTTCCATATCATTGAACATCTGACTCCCCCAGAGGACTGCTGAGAAACTATTATTTTAAATATCTCACAGTGCCATGGAACTATAACACCTGAAGCCCTCTTTTAAGTTTAGATTCCCAGCTGTTCGCTGCTGCTGTTGCTGCTAACCAGCACAGCTCACAGACACTGAAGGGGGCTCAAGAAATTGCTTTTTGCTGTGGTTCCCTACAATTTTATAAGCTACCCTTATTATTTGCAACTCAGTGCTCAGAAAAATGGGAATCGCAGAACATCTCATTATTCTCATCAGAAACTTGTATAGAGGTCAGACAGCTACAGTACAAACTGAACACGGTGAAAAAGACTGACTCCATTTTGACAAAAAAACGAGATAAAACTGTATACTCACTAAGTTGATGACATTGCCTTGATAGCTGAAAATGTAAAGGTACTGCAAACCCTAGTAATAAAAATCAAGGCATACAGTGAAAAAAAAATCTAAAATTAAATATTAAGATGAACAAACTAATGACAAGAATAACCAGCCTTAGAAGGGAAAAAGAAGATATTGCAGTGGTGGAAAATGTCTGCTTTTGGGATCAACCATCAACAGTAAAAGAACAACCAATCAAGAACAGCCAGTCAAGAAATACACCACAGACTAGCACTTGGTAGAGCAGCCATGAAAGCCTTGAAAAAGAGATTAAGATACATGATGTGTCTGTACAAATGACAGCATTGTGTAAGCCATGGTATTCTCTGTGACAGTGAGTGTGACACTCTTATGGAAGTGAAAGTTAGACTTTGAAGAAGCAAGATAGGAAGAATATTGACACTTTTGATCTTTGGTGTTGGAGAAGGATCCAGAGAATACCATCTTTAGACAAGACAAGAAAACAAACCAATGGATCATAAATGATGCAACAAAAATTCTCACAGGAGGCAGAAATGACCAGGCTCAAATTATCCTACATTATGCAAGGGTCTAGATTCCTGAAGAAGGTTCTAATGCTGGGAAAGTTTGAAGGAAGCAGAAGAAGGGGATGATCAACAATGGTGAAGAGACTCAGTCACAATAGATGTGCCTTTGGAAGACCTAAAGGGCCCAGTTTGGGAAAGATCATAATGGACGAATGATCATACTGTCAATGTAATCCCGAAGAGTGTATGTTGGGTATATGGATACACCAACTGGTTTGGGTGAATGAATATATAAAACCTAGGTTTAAGTGTTTGCAGCTTTAAGCTTCAAAACTGCAATGTCATCGCATAATTATGGGTGCGGTTGCAGGCTGCAATAATAGGCAGTGAGAGAGACGTAACACTTCCTGGTTTCTGATCCTGGTTTCGAGTCCCTGATTCCTGGTTCCTGGTGTTACTGGTCTCTGGTCTGTCTGCTGTTTGCCTACTACTGTTTTCCTCCTGTATGAGATGTCTACTGTGCAAGATACTTCTCTCAACTGAACACAAGGACTGTTTGCTTGGTGAGCTGTGAATTCAGCATTGTCTTTGAGAGAAAGGTATCTTAAGAAGAAGATTTACAAGCAGATAAAGACATTGTATTTACTGTTTAAAAGACTAGGTAACTGGATAGATATACTGGATACTGACATATGGACTGAATGACTCTTCTTAATCTCTGTGTGAATTAAACACCTATTTAAAACCACAAACAGAGTTTTTGTCTCAAGTGTGTGTATACTCTTGGGCCCAGCCTCTCTCTCATTTGGCTGCCTGGCTTGACTGCTGCTGTGCACTCTGCTCGGGGGTTTATCCCCAAACACTAACAGTGTATAACAACTTAATAGCACATAATCAATCAATATTATTTGCAGCAGTAGATAAAAGTAATGACTCCTTGTCATGCTCAATTCCTGGTAATATGTTGACTCCACAAAATGGATGTGATTTGCTGTGGCCTTTTTCTGGTACTCCCACCAGTAGATAAAATGTCTTAATTTTTTAACTTAAAGCTTTTAGTTTTAGGGGGAGAAATAGCATTACATTCTTTGGATTCTGGTTGTTCAGTTATGATAAGATTAGTAGATTATGCTCTGTCTGTGTCTCTATAAAATAGAATGGATAACAGATCATATGAATAATATATCTGTCGTAATCTGCATATCTTCATTTCATAAATCAAAGGTTTTTTTTGTCTCGTAAATGTTGATGCAAATTATGTTGCTTTTTAATTTCATTTGAAATTGAACCATAATATATAGTGTTATTTACATATGCCTGGCAAGAACTACTTAGGTGGTTTCGCACATAAACTGTTTTGTTACAATACATTATTTTCAAAGTGCATAGCGTTACAGATGTATCTATCCTTTTTATCTTCTTATGAGTTTCATATGTCTCATTTATACTAACTAAAACTTGTACCAAACTACTGTGGCTGTGGACCTTCTCCTTTTTCTTGTAGCAATTAATTGGTTTTCTGTTCTTACGTGTTAATAGTATATGTTCAAATGCATTTTAATCACTGTTTTTGAAAGACTAACATTGTGCTAATAAATATAATCTTTGACTTTGTCTGTTCCCTTCTATTTTTCTGGAAACTTCAGTAGTTCTTCCATGTTCCCTAATCTTTGAATTACATGCTACTTTGTAACATTTGTTAAATTTGTGATATTTGGAAAAGAAAAGAAAACTAAGAATTGTATTTTAAAATACTGATACATTTAGCTATTTGTAGACTACCCGAAATTTTGAAACCTTGGATCTTATAATCAAATGTCTTACATTTACACAGTGAAAAAAAATCACCCAATTTGCCCAATAATACTAGGTATTAAATATCTTTCTTCATAAAAGTAAATTCATGCAGCAAGTCATTTATGATTAGATATTTATAGCAAGGGTATCAAACTTGATTTCATTGAAGACCACATCAGGAATGTGTTTGACCTTGAGGGGAGCATGGCCAGCTCGATATCACTCAGGCTGGGGGTGCCTGTGATGGCCTGAGCACTTTGCCAGAGAAAATGGGCTCCTGAGCTCTGTTTTTGGCTGCAACAGCTTCCTGCAGCCCTCTGCTAATGAAAACAGACCTCAGAAGGGCCATGTGTGGCCCTCCCAAGTTCCTTTTTGTTAGCAGACGCACTGCGGCCAGTCCTTTGCTGTTTCCAGGGCAGTCCTATGGGCCAGATCGAAGCACCCCATCAGCCACCTCCAGCCAGCAGACCTTGAGTTTGACACCCCTGATTTATAGTCATATTGAACATGACAATTGAACATTTTATTTTATTTAAGATATCCAATTTTAAACAAGGAAAAATGAACACTAAACTGCTATTTCAATTCCTTTGTTTCAGTTCCTAAGATACGTTCACTTCTAATTAGATGCAGAAGTGATTTTTTTTTTTTGCTGCATATTGCAATATCTGAAACATGTTCCCATTTTCTGAATTTACATTGTACGCATATGCTGTGTGATATAAGCATAATTCATGGCATATAATGGAATAATATTTTTCTGCAGTCTCTTATAGTGACTAATAAGCAGGCTAATCAAAAGCAAAGGTGGTCTTTTCTTCAAGGGTGTGTACAAATCTCTGCCAAAACCTTTTGTTTCGTTTTCTGAATGGGATGTTTCCATATCATTACTAGATTTTAAATTTTTGCAAGTGCGAAACAAATAGAATAGATGCGATGCTAAATTTCTAGAACTGAATCAAAATCAACTGGCATATAGGTTAGGCATAACCCAATTTTTATTTATAATTACTTAGATACTGGAAATCTAATGATGGAAAAGTCTTATCCCTGAGGGTGCTAACATGAATATTTGAATAACAAATAAATACTTGGGTTTAGCAAGTGCACTGTTTCTCAATTCTTTTTATTTTTTCCTTGGGACACTATTTTTCTATTACTCCTGATTATGGATTTTGGTATACTAATAAAAGTTATTTTATTCCAAAAATAATATTGCAAAATGTAATAGGATAGTACTGATAGAAGAAATCTGAGTTCAAATCAGCTGAATATGAATATCCCTTTGGATAATTTTTCTGGTTCACTGTCTCTACCATAAAAGGTATTTCTACATGCACAAAGGTGTTAAAAGAGAGGGTTACAACTGAATTTCATCTAGAGTTCTGTATAAATGGTGATCATATTATTGCTAGGATGTATAAACTTTTGTTAAAAATTGAAATAGAAGACAAAAGAGTTACAAATTGTATATACCACGGGTTTCCAAACCTGGCAACTTGAAGCCTGGAGGACTTCAACTCCCAGAATTCCCCAGCCAGCTTTGCTCAAAACAATTTTGAAAGTTTAAAGCATTCAGTATTCAAAATATTTTGCACATTGCATGAGTGGGCTTGCACAACATATCACCCTTCCTCTGACCATTGCGAAGATCCATGAGGCTGGCAGTGCTATATGGTTATGTAACTTGAAGTAGTTGCAATTGTTTATGTATAAGATGAGTGAGATGCTCTGATTTACAGTAAAAGCTGTTTGCGAATAAGGACTGTTGAGTCTTGTTTAATTTTTTACCTCCACCCAATATCTGCATTTTTTCAGCATAGCTTAAAAAAAAGCCCTGTTTATTTCAAAGTACAGGTTTAAACAAAAATATTTAGATTACAAGGCTTTTAGGACAACCCAGACCCTGGGGAAAAAAGCAAAACATGGAATCTTGAATTTGTGTTTTTTTTTTCCTTTAGAAAACCAGAAAAAGGAATCCAGTATCTGATCGACAGAGGTTTTGTGCCAGATACGCCTGTTGGAGTTGCCCATTTCCTCTTACAGAGAAAAGGTCTCAGCAGACAAATGATTGGAGAGTTCCTGGGAAACAGACAAAAGCAATTTAACAGGGATGTTTTAGAGTAAGTAACTTATATGAAACTCTTGTTACCTATTTAAGTATACCAATTTAAGTATGTGCCACATTAAGAAAAGCTGATGATCTGAGTGCCTTGTGTTTAAGCCAAAAGTAATTGTGCTTCTTGTATTTTTAAATCTTCCAAAATTACTTAATCAGTGAGATTGGCATGTATAAATGTATATAAATTTTATTAATGAAATAAATAAAACAAAATCAAGGTGAAGAAATTGTTCCATTTACATCCATGCATGCCTTTCAGCAGGACTAATGCAGATACAGGTATAGAAATAGTTTGTTTTCTTTGCTGTTGACTTCCAAATCTTTTTTTATCACCATAGAATAAGGTAATAACATAAAACCATAACTTTTAATTTTCACATAGTAGCCATTTTTATAACAACAAACCAATCTAATCGGCAAAACCCAAATCAAAGTTTCATTTTTGTCTGCCTCAAACACAAAATACAGTACAGAAGTGGTTTCCAATTAAAACAAAGTTAGTCTTTTCTTTAATTAAAGCATCTCTGCTATCTCTATCAGCCTTTGCAGCCAAATTTATGATTAGTTAAAATAGGCACAGGTTCATCCAGTTGCAAATGGTGTATTTGTTGTTTTTTGAAGCAAAATATGGTTTTGTTTTTAAAAAATGACAGGTTTTGATTATATAAGTCAACAGTGCTTTACATAAAGATTACAGCTAACCAATCATATTTGCTGACAGTTTCAAAATGCTAACAGCACCATGAACCAGACATTGCTCTTGTGAGAAAGTGGGAAAGTATAAAAAACATCCAGCCAGTGCCCTGTTCCAAGGTGCTCCTGTTCTGTAAGAACATTAATGTGTGCGCACGCGCACACACTCATACATGGGCAATTCTAACATATATCCACTCCACCTTTTCAATAAATACATTCATTAAATGTATTCATTTAACCAGGTTGTTTAAAAAAAATTGTGAGTGGTGTCTTTAAGTGGAGATTAATTGGCTGCAAAGCAATTCTTTTGGCACTAAGGAGTGCCTCAGAAGCAGCAAAAATTACATTATATCATGCCAGCCCTTTTGTGACCAGATGTTTTTCCAGGAGCTGCAATCTGTTAAACGGAAATGGAATAGGAGAAGCTGCATTCTAAACAATGACTGTAGATAAGCACCAGATTTTAAGACACTTAAAACCTCTTGTTGGGAATAGATAATACTGGTTCCTTAAGTCTAGAAATTGATATAAAGAATTCCCATCAGTGGAAAAACAGAGTTTTGTGGAATTACAGTGATTCAAAGGAAAGAACCAGCTTTGCTTTAGTTTCAAATATGTTAGCATAGAGCCTGAAATAGATTAACTTCACAAGAATAGGACTGCAAGAATATGCCAAATACTTAATGAAGCATCACTGTGGAAAATAAAAGTTCATTTAATGTTGAAGGGAAATGAGCAGGCAATATGTCCTCTCTTGTGGTTTTGTGTGTAGCTACTGAGCCTCTTCATTGACATCTGAAATCTTAGAAGTATACAGTTGAGTAACTTGCCTCCATGAGATGATATTCTGGGCTATGAAGCTAAGAATAGTCAAATCTAATTGATTCACTGATAAGAGACCACTAATAAACACCATGGTAGGGTAAACTAATCTAAAGCCATTCCATAAGATGACAGTGATGAACTCACTTGCATACTTTTGCCAAGAAAGTTTCATGGAGGTATCTCTAGTCATCTGAGCTTAATTAAGTAGACGTTAGCATCTTATGCAATAATTGGGAAATGTAATTTATATTATATGCGAGTCCCTTGTGAGCTCTTCTTAGATTGATATGGCCTATTTGTTTTGTATTTATCTGAATACTGAAGCAAACTGTACTTAAAAATATCTTACCTGATCTTCAATCTTTCCTGAAAAAAATCAACATTTCTTCAGTTCAATTCCAAAGCTCTATATTTGTAATAGTGTCCCTGTAGTTTCAAATGCTGCTGGAGAAACTTATTTAAAACTATCAGATGAAATAGTTTGTATAGGAATTGGACTACATAAAAATAGTGATATCTTTTTATATGCTGTATAAAAATTAGGAAAGTTATTTCTTATGCCACTTTTTATTTTCTCTAGTTATTCAACTTTTTATGGATTAAACATTAATTACTTTATTCTTCTTTTAAGCCATGAAGTAGAGATTGAGCGACTTAAACCAACTGACATACAGCTAAAACATTAATACATCACAATCTGAACTTAAATCAATCGGTATTAATTAGCTTATATTTTAGTATGTTACTTTGTGCTGTGGACTATATATAGGGCAAGAAAGCAGAAAAATATCATTCACATGCTATGGCAGTTCATATTTTTTTCCCTTATATAAATGTCAGAACTTTTTTTAAAAAACAAAATTAATTAGATATTCAAAATGCTAAGTTTATGATATAGCTACATCCTAGCTTAGTTTTCATTTCACTGTCTGTATTTATGCATTACTACCATAGCTGATTAGGTTGTAGGGGAAATTTTCCAATGACTAAAGTGCAAAATAGTAAATCAGAAATAGATTAGAAACTAATTTGACACTCAGGCATTCCATTAACTAATGGCTGACCTTAATCATGCTAAGTATGTAATCAAGATAAATTCAATCCAGACAGTATCTATAATGACATTTTATGAACGGAGAAGCAAGTTTTCACCCTTCATTCAAAAACTGGTTCCCATTTGCCTTATCTTGGTTGTGGGTTCGTACCAATTATAGCATTTTGGGAAAATTCCATGTCAAAAGAAAATGAATCTAGAGAGATCTTAGAAACCAACAATATAACAATATAAGGGTAAACTTTGTCAGGAAAAATTGGGCCTCATGAATACAGGCTGCACAGCCCAAATTCTGATTTAGACTCAAAGACTGCAGGAACAATGGTATCCTCATGCAGAGAATCAAAAGACTTAATGCATATTCAAAACTGCAGGATTTACAAGAAAAATTACCTGAGGAGTATTGGTCCTGAATAGACTTGCATTCTGAACTGCATTAGATATGTGCCAAATTTAATGTGAGTGAATCTTTTTATATAAGGATTTCTGTCTGAGACAAAGACAGAGTTAGACATATGCATATTTTACATATAGTTGACTATTTAAATTTTGACCATTTGGAATTTGACTCCTCCCTTTTAGACCAGAGCTTTGATTACTTATGTAACTATGTCTGCTCTGCTGAGTCCAATGGTTGAGGCAGGACAGTACAGTTCCTGCAAGAATCATTAGGAATCAGATGGCATACAAGTTTTAAACATCATCATCATCATCATCATCATCATCATCATCATCACTACTACTACTACTACTACTACATACTGTTTTGTTTAAATTTAGAACAAAAACCTAATAACACATTTTAGACAACAGTCAATCCTGAGGAATACCAGTGATATCAGTTCCTGTCAGAGAAGTCTCTGAATATGTTGCTGACATATTGTGTAACAAATGTGTCAAGATCATAACTGAATCTCTCACTATTATTTAGTCTTTCTTTGCCAGTCCCCATCCTGACATTATAGGAGATTATAGGAGGAAAAGTAGAAAGCATACCTATCAATTTTATTATCATGGAAATATAAATAAAAATTCCTTGTTTGTCCAATCACACTTGGCCAATACATTTATTCTATTCTATTCTGTTCTATTCTATTCTATTCTAGACCAGTTAAATTTACAAAAAGAAAACTGGTTGTGGGAAACTAAACTAAATTAATGCTTTCTTTGTTTCAGCTGTGTTGTGGATGAGATGGACTTTTCAGCTATGGAACTGGATGAAGCTCTCAGGAAATTTCAAGCTCATATCCGTGTCCAAGGAGAAGCTCAGAAAGTAGAACGACTCATTGAAGCTTTTAGGTATGACACTGCAAGCTGCAGAAGCTGATTGAAAATGTATAAGTCTCAGGAACAGTGCGGTTGAATATAGTTATTTTTTTAAAAAAATTGCATAAGCGATTATTCAGATAATCTGTTAAAATTAAATTATGCATAGATGTCCCAAAGGTGCTTTTTCAAAGGGCAACTTGACTTTCTGGTTTTTCACTGAAGACATCTCGCTCCATATCCACGAACCTTCTTCAGCTTAATAAGCTTCAAGAAGCTGAAGAAACTTCTTGGATGAGAAGCAAAACATGCTTAAAAAAAACCCAGAAGGTCCAGTTGCTTCTTGAAATGACTAAGAAACGACTAAGAATTTCCATAGACAATATGTATATATGTTGTAATTCCTGGTAGCTTAATTTGGCTATTCTTTTGTCATTTATTTTAAACTGAAGCAACAAAATGATACTATTTCAGTTTAAACTTTTAAAAAGAAGTTAAATATATAATCTCAATTTAAAATGCATACAGTTAATGTGATAAGCAAAGACATTTCTCATTAAAAGCAATTCAAATGTTCTTTATACTGGTGGAAATGTAGCAAGAAATCTAAAAGTTATCCAGTGTTCCTAAAATAAAGGTATATACCCTCAGGCATTTATAGTTGTTAAATCAATGGCATCATTAAGCAGAGAAAGGAAAATGCTTCTATCACCACTAAAACCAGGTGCCAATCCTGTGTCTATGGTATATAATAGGAATCTGTGATTACTGCTGCGTTATATGAATAGTTACATTTTTGGATGACTCATTTAGGCTCTAAGTTTGCTCTGAAGCAAGGATATTTTACAAGCAACATGGAATACTTTTTATGAATTTGGCTATTCAATTCACCCAAATCAGTATTATATATCCGGTTGACAAATGTCAGTCACATTATGCCTATAGTTTGCAATAGTTTTTAAATTACTTAGTATAAAGCACATAAGTTTAAATTTTAGACGTGTTGGTGAAGTGTGCAAGTTTATGAAATTAATTGCATAAAATGATAACAGTTGTATTTTTGATATATCAGTAATCTTTTACATAATACATGACATTTGAGAGATTTAATAAAGTATTCTGCAGCATAGACTCTTGTTATTAGATAAGAGAATAGAATAATGGAGTAAATACTGTTTTATTTTACATTTTATATTGCTAAATGAATAATGATAAGAATATAATTTAGCTTTCTGTATGAATGTATTGGATTTTTTTTATAAATGCCATATCAACTTATCTTTGAATCTCACCTATTTTTCTAAATTGTCTTTTCTAGCCAGAGATACTGCATCTGCAATCCAGGGGTTGTAAGGCAGTTCAGAAATCCTGACACCATCTTCATTCTTGCCTTTGCGATAATATTATTAAATACAGATATGTATAGTCCAAATGTAAAACCAGAACGTAAAATGAAGCTCGAAGATTTTGTCAAAAATCTAAGAGGTAGGCATAACATGAAGATTTGTCATTATCTAGAGACCTAGATTGCCAACTGTACTGCAGTCGTTCAACAAAAGTAACCCCCTGGCGAGTTAGGTGGCAAATAAATTTAATAATAAAGAATTTAGCCATTCTATTTCAGAAGCATTGGAGGAACTAGTCTACTCTACCTGCTTCCTAGGGAGGAATTAGTCCATCTTACCTGCTTTCATTTTTTGGAAGCAGGCTAAGGAACAATATTGATAGATTTCCTCATTTCAAATTTTGCACCATACTTGGGTTCCTTCTAGGTCTGAACACAAGATGGTAATAATTGTATATTCAACGATTTGCAAATTGTTTGAGTGCTCTTTTGACATTATAAGGTGGCTTGGGAATCTATGTGAAGAACAAAGTGTATCTATTTGTGTGTGTCTGTGTATATATGTTTGCCTATAGATACAGGTATATATTCATCAATAAATAAGTTCTTCTGTTTCGACTACAAACACAGACTTCAAAAATGCTTGTCTATATTTAAATCAGGAAATGACAATGAATAGCCTATGGATATCAGTTTGCCTGTGGATATCTCTCTTGGTACTATTCATTAATATAAGCTGACTTTTAAAAAGAAAAATAATTGTGATTGAAAATTTAGTAATAGTAAAAAAAGAGACAAAAATATAAGGAAAAGAAGAACGATATTTAAAGAATAATTTCCAATCTTCAACACAAACAAACTTAGTAATTCCTTACCTCCTCTCCTATAAGGTGACATTCAAGTTTCTTTTCTTTTTGTAACTCATCCCTTATCAATACACAAATGCACAATACACAAATAATAAATAATTAACATTTCAGTCCTGCTGCTAGAAAAAAAACTCTGTAAGGAACTTGGATTTCTATAGATTTTTATAGAAACATGTCTTAGTTTAATCTTGATCAAACAAACCAACTCTATATTGCTTCCTTTTGATTCTAATAATCTACAAGAAATCTAGTATTTGATCTGTCCTTAATTTTTTTTACCCATTTTCCCCAGGCTTCTTTGAGGCTTTATCAAACCTGTTTTGTAAATCCAGTAAGATGTCATTATCTTGGTTTATCATTTGTATTTCTATTTTAACTGTCATCTCTATCTTATATCCACAATTGTTTTATTTTCCTATATTTCAACAATATAGGGTGTTTCAGCTCTTTATCTTGTAGATATTCTAAGATATTCTCTTTCACAACAGTCATTTCCTCTTTAACATCTTTTGGACATACATAAAAATAAACCGTTGTACTGACATTGTAGCTGCTAGTTTTCTGACTCCATGCTTTGAATATCTCCTGAAGTATTTCAAATGTCACATCATTTTCTGTCATTTTGTCCCAATACTGACCAAAGCCAAAAGGCAAGCCTGTCTTAATCCAACCTTTATTATCTTTTTTTATAAATAACTCAAGGTGGCAAATATATCTAATGATGCTTCTTTTTCCTATTTTCCCCACAAGAACAATCCTCAGAGGAGAGTTGGCTGACAGAGAATGACTGGCCCAAAGTTATCCAATTGGCTTTCAAAGCTAAGGCAGGAATAGAACTCACAATTTCCTGGCACCTTAACCACTAGACCAGATTGGCTTTCTTTTTTTTTCTTTTTTCTTTTATGTCTGGAATCATTAGTCCCCTTTAGTGCCCAGTTTCTGAAATCATAAAATATTGGATTTCTGTTATGACTTAAAATAGACTAAACAATTTAGTTCCCATGAAGGTGCTCTTTATTGATATAATTATATCTAACATCCTACAGCAACAATTCTATTATTACAAATTTGTTTGTACCCTGAATTTATTTATAACTTTATTGGATTAAAGTCTTATTTAGCTTTTTGATATTTATTTCACTTTCTGTAAACTCTTAGGTTTATAGCTAAGTTTTCTTTCATTCTGGAATAAAGGCAAATTTACCATGTGACTTCACAAGCTTTTCATTTTGAATCTCTATTAGCCTTAAGATAGTTAATTAGTTCAAAGTTATTAGAAATTGTGATTAGCAAACCAAGTGTCCATAAAAAGGTTTTCTTGCAATTGAGATTATAGTGGTTTTCTTTTGTCTCCCAATGCTCAAACCCATGGCAATCCTGCAGTCTCCTTCTGAGGAACAGCTGTGCAGAGTTCCATGGGACTAGTCTACCCACTGATCTTTTGTTGTAACTGTGATGTTGTTTCAGAGATGTGTTAGCTTGCCATTTGTCACCTAGAAGTCTGGCTTTTTTTTAAAAAAAAGTTTAATTTAATATAAATAATATAATATAAAATCCTGTCAAACAGGAAACAAATAGTAAAAATAGGGAGTGCTATAGTAAACATTAAAAATAGGGAGCCCTGCTCCAGTTAACAGTGGTGTCCCCCAAGGCAGCATTCTAGGACCCACACTCTTTATACTTCTATATAAATGACCTTTGCAATCACCTTATAAGCAACTGCATCCTCTTTGCAGATGACGTAAAACTATTCAACGTCTCTCCAGTTTGTCTTCTGGTAATTTGGTGGTCTGTAATCACAACAAGCAACCACTTCAGGAGAACAAATTGATCCTAAAATACCAGGTGGCCACAAGCAGTTCCCTACTCCTGCCTTGGGGTGGAATAATTGGCATTTGTGTGTTTTACTAACAGGGTTGAAGAAGAAAAATATATCTTACAGCTTTTATGTAATAGTTTCTTTGTTTTTTGTTATTTGTGCATTTATGCCATAAAAAGCCAAGCTACAAAAATATCAGATGATGAGCAGAACAAAACAGACAACATAGGTACAAGGACATGTTTGTTTATCCTTAAAATCATGTTTGCTATCCTCAACATGAAGTACTTTCTCCCCAGCAAATCTGTCTGTAACCCAAACACATTATCATTACCTTACTGTTAAACAACATGGTGGTGAATGTGTGGATAATTCCATAGTCATAGTACCTGTAAACTACTACTTCTATGCTAATATTGGTACATACCTATTCCAGATTGTTTGTTTATGTGAGCAGTGTGTTAATGCAATAATTTATAGAAGAAATATTGTCAATGTTTGTGATCGAGGCTCAGTACAGTAACCACTGCTACCATTAAACTATACAGCTGCAGATGGGTATTCAACAGTAGTAATCATCAAGTATTGTTCATTTAGTATTTCTGCATTCTATAAACTGTATTTCTAATTATAACGATCCCTATGTGTTGCCGAAAGAAATACATATTAAGCAATCAGATGACCAAGAATTAGATTTATTTTTTGAAGTTATCTGTCTCTGATAATGTCATAATGGCTCTGTGCCAAATAGATCTAGATATGACTTTGTTAATATCATAGAATATATGATATTATTGAAATGACCAGAGGAATAGAGAAGTTTAAAGGTGTCTTTTTGGTATAAACTTTTTAAAAATCATGTCAATGGAAATTAGCACTTTTATTTCAACATTCCAATATTTTATACTGTGACAGTATTCTGGAAATAATAGAATAGAAACAGGCTTGAGGGCTGCAGAGTAGTCGTTTCTGGGGAATCCATGGTGCTGTCTGAGCTTAGTCATTTTTTGCAGATGTTCCATTACCAAACTAAATAATATCATAAACAATATCTACATACCATTCAAAAGAGACCATCAAAAAGCTAGAACACTTTCTCACCAGCAATCAACATGATGAGCAATCCCTAATGAGCAGAAATTAACATCAAGATTAACATTAAACCAACAATGAAGAAGCAAACAATACTCCAATCAAGGAACTACCAACTCAGACGAACAAGCTGAGTTGGTAGTTGGTAGTTTACCCAGTTGGCTGGAGTAAACAACAGCCCAATCTAGGAACCACCAAAACCATTCCCACCAACACTGATCAGGAAAGCCACTTGTATGAAAGCCACTTGTTTAAAATGAGAGCAAACCCCATTGTATACTAGCACTGGTATTCCTTATCTAGTTTGATAATGAAACATCTGCAAGACAACAGTCAAACTCAGAGAGCATGAAGGACCCTGTTGTTCACCCCTGATTTACAAATATTTTCTCCTATCATATGATACTTATTTCTGTTTTATATCATTTCTGGGACTTGATCAAATAATGTTTATTATAATGTTTATTATTATTATTTATATATAATAATAACTACTTTTAAAACGAGTCCATTAAGAGGGGGCTGTTGTCTCCATATTTTCTTCAGGTTTTTGCAAAGGCTCAAATTACTAGATAAGATGCACCATTAGTCTTAAATAAAAGGTTTTTTTATGTTCTTACAGTTGTTGGTTGCTGTAGCTTCACAGTTAATAGTTGTGTGTGAATGGAACACTGAAGTTGCCTATTTCTGTTTAACAGTGGAAATGTTCCCAGATTAATTAGCTTTATGCCTGGTTTTTTTTCATTGCAAAATGGCTGTTTGTAGTATGGTATAGAGAAATCCAGACTTTAAATGGCATAATGGTAATATTAGCAGCCGGGACCTGCTTTGTGGTTGATATTCTAGACAAATTTTATTTATTTATTAAATTTCTATCCCGCCAATCTCCTGTACAAGGTGACTGGTACTATCCAAAATCAGATTCTATCTTTAATGTGGCATTATATGAAAGATAATATAATGAAAGTGCAAAGATGGTACATATATTAATCAGCAATAATCAAAATCACTTTTCCAGGTGTAGATGATGGTGAAGATATTCCACGAGAAATGCTCATTGGAATATATGAGAGAATCCGAAAACGGGAACTCAAGACCAATGAGGATCATGTGTCACAGGTCCAAAAGGTTGAAAAGCTCATAGTAGGAAAAAAGCCAGTAAGTTTCTTTTATGGATATGATTATGCATAAACTTAGACTGGATTGTCACAGAATGTTGCCAGAATATTCCAGGACAATAAAAGTCTTCTAAAAAATCATAGTATGTTTATAATCATAAAATCAAAAAATGAAGAAAATTGAATAACCTTGTACTGGTAGTGTATTACAGTACTGTTACAAATAGCAGGATTTAGATTTCATGGCATTTGAAAGAATGGTTGGGTCTGAATGGGGCAGCTAAAAGTTCAGCTTTATAAAAAAAATTTAAGAGTAAGCCTTAGAATTGTGCGCTTCTTACTCTTCTGCTTGCCTTTGATGGATGTTTTCACTTTGACATGATTGATTGTTGATAAAAGTGCTGTCAAGTTGGCGTCATTTCTTATTAACGACATAGAGATTTTTTTTTCTAGGATTATCCAACTGTACTCTGGTCTTTTAAATCTTAGTTAAGTTTCCCCCAGTTAATGTAAATAGTGATTTGAAATCAGTTTGTTTCAACAAACCATAGTTAACATTAACTAGCCTGTCTAGTTTATGAAGATATTATGTTCAAGTTGCTGTTATTTTAAAATATTATTTCCTGTGCATGGGAACAGAGAAAAAGATTAGAGAGGAAGTGCTGAGGGAACAGAGTGAGGGTCATGTTTTTTCTTTGAAAACCTATCTGGCAAAATGAAAGGAATGGTTCTTTTTCATTACATTCATTGAAATTCAAAATGCTGCACCAATGTAAAACGTGTGGTCTACTAGCCTATCTTAAGGGAATTTCTGGATGATATAGCTGGTGCTTCTGTTGAAGCTCTTTGGAATTAATTATATCAAGAAAGATAAATAATGCAAATGTTGGAAGTGATTAGAACTATCTTCTGCTATCACTTAATTGCCCATGGAGCTTAAATGACTATACCAGCTGGCATCAAGGAAGTGTGCTTTCAGAAGAAAAGAATAACAGAGTTGGAAGGGACCTTGGAGGTCCAAACCTAAGGGAACCCTATAGCAGAGAATCGTATACCATTTCAGATAAGTGATTGTCCAATCTCTTCTAAAAACCTCCAGTATTGGAGCACCTATAACTTCTAGAGACAAGTCTGATTAATTGTTCTAACTCTCAGGAAATTTCTCCTTAGTTCTAGGTTGGTATTTTCCTTGATTAGTTTCCATCCATTGCTTCTTGTCATGCCTTCAGGTGCTTTGGAGAATAGCTTGACCCCCCTCTTCTTTGTGGTAGCCCCTTAGATATTGGAATACTCCTATCATGTCATCCCTTGCCTTCTTTTCATTAAACCAGCCATACCCAATTCTTGCAACTTTTTTTTCACATACTTTAGCCTTTAGTCACCTAATCATCTTTGTTGCTGTTCTCTGCACTCTTTCTAGAAACATCCTGCATGCAAATTCATGCTATATATTTTGCTTTGAGAGCATATATTTGGTCCTCTGCAATAATAGCTTCTCCTCTGAGTTGAGGCTCTCTCTATTATCTTTTAAGTTTTCTTTTTGAAATTCCATTCTGTTCCACTGTACATAGTTTTAGGTCTTCTACATGTAGGAAACAAAAGCAATAAAATTTATTTCTATGCCATCAAATAAACTTTACCTGAGCAACACAAAGATACTAATAACAAGAAATTTGTCCTGTGTTTCTGGAATGGAAGGAAGCTATAAAGAAATATCCATGTTTGTCTATCTTTGGTATATCTTAGATGAACAACAAGTTCATCACATAATAGGATACCATTTTTTTCAAGACAAGATGATTTTGTCAAGATGCTATTGCCATAAATACTAAAAATGCCACTTCAAAAGCAGAACAGATAAAAACATTGCAAATATACAAGTTTTATCATTCAAGTTTTCAATTATTTCATATTTCTAACTCTTTTGATGATCTGTACAATTGCTACAATCTATATTATGGAAATGTGTATTTTATATACTTTTAATCATAATTAGACTGAAATATTTGCTTGATAAGGTACAATATTGTATTTTTTCGAAGTTTAATTATATTTTGTGTCTTTTACCATAGATTGGATCTTTACATCATGGGCTTGGTTGTGTAAGTGTTTGCTTTCATATTTATATATTCAGTAAGCAGATCTCACCATAATTTTAGAAATTGGCCCTTTATAAACTTGAATATTATATATTTGATTTGGTACAGTATTCTAGTTTGTACATAGAAAAAGCTGAATCACTAATCTAATAAAATATTTCTGTTATACAAATGGAGTTTATTAGTGCTTTCTAGGTAGGATTCAGTTCAAGAAAGAGAAAATAAATTGCAAGTTTTATTTGCAAGGAGCACCCTTATAAATTTCAGTGAAATCGGTTATAATACATAGCATTTTTGTTTCTAATTTATAGGTTCTGTCTCTCCCACATCGGCGACTTGTTTGTTACTGTAGGCTTTTTGAAGTTCCAGATCCAAATAAACCTCAGAAGCTTGGATTACATCAGCGAGAAATATTTTTATTTAATGATCTCCTTGTGGTATGTGCCACATAATTTATATTATTTTATTATAAGGGAAAACCATTATTAAGCAAGAAAGCTTCCCATAGCTCTGGTAGATAAGATACAAATGTACAACTAACTACCTGATTCTGTGGTTTCTTCCCCAAACCCCAAAAACTTTAACCTTAGACTTTCTACTATTGACCTCACCCCTTTCCTAGGGGGCATGCATAAGCGCACCAACGTGCCTACCGTCCCTGTCCTATTGTTTCTTTTATTTTTCTTATATGTATCCATATATTCATAACTATGTTTTTACTTATACCTATTACCTTGTAAGCAATTGACAAACCAAATAAAATAAATAAATAAATAAATCTGTTCCCATCTGTAATCTAGCAGACCAGAGCTACATATATCAAGCCCTTAATTTATATTTTAAGAAACCAAAGCTGCTTGGTGGATTGGACTCAATCCTTCCCCTCTAAAGTAATTGCTTGTCAATACATTTTACCTATTAAAAGCAATAGGCATATTAGTGTTGAGTTAACCTTGTCCTCACACACTTAACATGATAGCATATTCATCAATGGTACAAGAACATTAATCTCCCACAAAAAGGAATGAATTGAGTATTCTGGGTTTAATGAATTGTATTTTGTTTTCTTATGAGAGAAAATAGTATACATTGGTATATATCGGGATTCTCAAATGCTCCATTCTTTTATTAGAGTTAAAGTTTACTACCATTTGAAAGTTTTACTACCATTTGAAACAATGTTAGAGGTACAAGAGTAATAGGATCCTAGAAATGTTTGCCATTTAAAAATGGCCTAATTCTATGCATTCTTAGTGGTATTATAACTGTTATTGCTAAAGGCTTGCCCAATCAGCTATTCTAGAAAGAGTATCTTTTCCAATTCTTCCCTTGATTAAATAAGTATGGCATTGAGGCAGAATTAGTATTTAGAATGCTTGTTGATGTGCAGTAAGTACCCAAATGTGATCTATATCATTTAAGACCATAAAGCTATGTATTACAAAGTAAATCTAGAATGCTCATATTTTAGTTAGATAATATGGTTCTTTATTTTTATTTATTTGTCTGTTAATATTTTAGGTCACTAAAATTTTTCAAAAGAAGAAAAATTCAGTTACATATAGTTTTCGACAGTCCTTTACCCTCTATGGAATGCAAGTTCTCCTTTTTGAGAATCAGTGTAAGTTCATTTATGTAATTTGAACACTAGTTGTAAATCATTTTTAAGATTGAATGTATCTTTTAATTACATTTTTCTAACTCCCCCTTAATTTGACCTCAAATGCCTGGAAATATCATTACTCAAGAAGCAGCTACAAAGAGTCTTATTAAGGCCATTTCCTTTACAGATATTGAGTTTTGCGATAATTATGACTCCAAATAATGATTGTAAGTCATGATAGTCATTAAATGCATTACCATATGACAATGCCTAATTTTACAACTTTTTTTCTGTGGTCATTAAACAAATCCATTTTCTTTAATGAGCATTTTTTTTTTGCCAGAAATCAGATATAAATCACAGAAACTGTTAAAAAAAACCACCAAAAAATTATGGCAATGTGGCCACAGAATCTTGCAGACAACGATAAATGCAAAACAGAATTGGATTAGAGAATTAGAATTCTTTTATTGGCCAAGTGTGATTGGAAACACAAGGAATTTGTCTTGGTACAAATGCTCTCAGTATACATAAAATAAAAGATACAGAAAAGAATATATGGCCATGGGGGTGGGGCTGCCTCCATAGTTGGTCTGGAACTGCGTCATAAGTAGCTCTGGGGAGCTCTGTTGTAACTTCACTCAGTGACTGGTAATTAAGTAAAGACTACTTGTAAATGGCATTGTGAATGCAACTAATCGGGGTTTAAATAATGTTTGGCATTGTAAAACGTTTTCTAAAACCAAAGAACTTAATAATTCAGGGGTCCCCAACCACCGGACCCCAGACCGGTACCAGTCCGTGGAACATTTTCTACCGGGCCGCCGGTTTGCTGGGTGCCGCCATCTTGTTTTGATGAGAGAGTGCTTCCGGTGAGCTTTTCCGGTTGGAAAGCAACGTTTGGGTTCTGAAGGAATCCTTGCGCCTTAGTTTCATCGAAGGGGGGGGCGGCTTCGAACAAAACTAAGGCGTGGGGATTCTTTCAGCACCCAAAGCAAGGCGAGCCGAGCGGCCGTCCTGAAGCCGTCGCGAAGCCCATCGACAAAGGTACAAAGGAGGAGTTGAAGGTGGCGGAGAGAAGCGGGGGATGGCTGGCTGGCCGGTCGCTCGGCTCGCCTTGCCATGCGTGCTGATGCCGGTACCGAGCCGTGGCACAAAAAAGATTGGGGACCACTGTAATAATTGATTAGTCCATGCCAAAGTCATGTCTTTAAGTTCCTAGGTAGAGCAAATTTTGCTTGTTGGATTAGATAATTTCCTGATGACCATTCAGTGTCTCTTGAATATATTAGTTTTCGATACCATCACTGCACGGACATTGCTTGTAGTTCCATCTGCATGTACCCCAAGTGCAGGATATCCTTACGTTGATTTTCCTAAAGATTTTCTAAGTTAACATTCTGAAAATATGAAAACATTGAAAGTATTGCTGTAAGAGGAATTAACACACACTGGAAAATTTGCTAAAATTATGCTTTCCAGTAGCTGAAAGATTAAAAACCTAGTGTCAGAAAAGGTTAATTTGTTTGTTAGAAATGTGCAGTGCAGTGGATGTAGATCTCTGAAGGTCTTCTTTAGAAGAGAATAAGAAAAAAGAGTATGTATTAAAAGGAATCTTTGATGTATTGAAATATTTTCATAGATGGAGCTGTGGAGAAATAATGAAATGAAATTAATACAAATGGGATATTTTTTGGTTTTGTTTTTTGCTACCTCTTAGATTATCCAAATGGCATACGACTGACATCAGCTGTTCCAGGAGCAGATATCAAAGTTTTAATAAATTTCAATGCTCCAAATCCCCAGGACAGAAAGAAATTTACAGATGATCTGAGGGAATCTGTTGCAGAAGTACAAGAAATGGAAAAACACAGAATAGAGTGTAAGTACAAAGGTAGATACAGTAGAGTATCTACTCTACTTAATTCTCAGTTTCATGAATCATTCCTTTCAAGTGCTTTTCACAGCTCTAATAGAAATACATATATAAATACTTCCAAGTATATCATGTACATATATTTATATAGAGCTCTACATCACACAAAGCTTGAATATTTGCAAAACCATTTATCTAGAGTTGTGCATCCCTATCCAGAAAGTTATGTTAGGATTAGTATGCTTAGGCTCTATCTATTAAAAATATCATTTTGTATGACCCAGAAGGCATGACTTCTGTGTTGTGCTGCTGCTATAAGAAATAGCCTTCTCTCTGAGGCTGAAGAGACCCAACTCTGCAAGCCTTAAAGAAAGCCTTGAAGACTTAGCTGTTTCAATACGTGGTGAGTCTTTATGTCTGCCAGCCATTGACTTTGAATTGTGAAGGGTCCTTGGTTTTCTCTAAGCTTGGTTGTTTCATTGCCCACAGTAGGTAACATCATCAGTAAACGTCTGCAAGAAAACAACCAAGCTCAGAGAGCACCAAATGAGAGCACCTCATTTCAACCCTGAGCTACAAATATTCTTCTTTATTGGTACGGTACTATGAGTTGTGTTTTGTAAATAGTTGCACCTCCCCAGGTACGCCTGTTTGAAATGGAAAATGACATTTTTAGCACATAGAATACTCCCCTACATTGAACTGAGTGGGGATTTCTCCCATGATACAGAAGTCCTGTCATGTATAACACAATTGATGGATTTTAGTGCAGTATTTGTCCAAGTTTTAAAATTGTTTCTTTTTCAGTTGTATTTATTTATTAGATTTACATTTGCCTTCCTTCCAGGAAGAAATGGTAGAGTATCTAGTACAGTAGTCTCCTTTCCAACTTCTCCCCATTGGGCTGAGAAAGAGCGATGGGACCAATGCAGCTCCAATGCACTACATAAATTGTTATTGTCATACATAAATATCATAAAATGAAGACACAGAATAACAGGTATAACTGACAGATAATCAGTAAGCATGTCCATGATGTGGGGGAGGTAGACAGAGAGACAGACAATTTTTATTTTGGAGGAGTTATAGAATCTATATAGCAATAGCACAGAAATTAAAAGTTCCACTTGCTTGTGTGGCCAAAATAATGCACTTCTGACCTCCTGGAATACATTACATAGAAGGTTTTAATTCATCATAGAACTCTCTTTTACCTTTTTTCAGCTGAATTAGAAAAACAGAAAGGTGTAGTGCGACCAAACATGTCTCAGTGCTCTAGCCTGAAAAAAGAGTCTGGCAATGGAACGTTGAACCGGGCCTGCCTGGATGACAGCTATGCCACAGGGGAAGGCCTCAAAAGGAGCGCTCTTAGCAGCTCCCTTAGAGATCTTTCTGAAGCTGGTAAGCTTGGCATTTCTTCTCTCGTAGATTAATTTTGACATATTGCAAGATTTTGTCTGTGAAAATGAATATCTAGAAATCAATCCGTAAAAATTATGCGCTCATTTTTTCCCATTTTTCCTTTGCATTTGAAAATATTGGATTGCTATAGCTGGTCTTTGTATACAGATTTTTAAAGAGGAACAAAAGGAAATGTTCCTTTTATATTGCAGTTATTCAATGATAATATATATTTTATAAGGAATAATTAGTTTTGCTTTTTATCTTTGTTTCTTCTGTTTATTAATGTCATTAGGGGAAAAAAATCCACCCGAATCACTGTGTGCTGGCTGCTGCTTATGCTTTTTGTGGTTGTTTGTATCCATGTAGAATACTGATGAATGAAATTGAGTGAAGCCCTGCTAAATTCTATAGCGGAATGCAGATCAGACATACCTGTGTGATTGATGCTACTTAATTGTATTGCTCAGAAAACAGATTCTAGATTTTGCCAAATGTGGCATATGTGTATATTGTACTGCTATTTTACCAGTATGATGGTGGGGAACCATCATGGCAAAGTAGTTACTCCAGTTTTGCATTACTGCTTTGTGGCTTAAAATGGATTGTGATAGCAGTTTAACATATATTGAAATATATATATGTTACATACCCGATTTTGGATTATATACATTTTCTATGTGTGCAGGAATTAGATAAATACCTCTATTATGTTTGGAAATCAGCGGTGTATTTTGCATGTCAAGCAGGACATTTCAGCCATGCGTGCATAATATTAGACACAGAAATGATTCCTACTGTTGCTACTAGTATTGCTCTGCATTTTAACATCATGCACATCATCCTAAATTAAGTATATCAGCTATAAATACATGATTTAATTAATATTTTTCCTATTTCTTGTTTTCATTATTATACAAAGTAACATGTAGCCCTCTTTTAAAAATTGGATGTTCATTTTACGGATGTTCTGAATTTAATGTATAATGAAAGGAATACAATCAATATTTTGTCTATAAATCTTAAATATGCAGTATGAATCATTACATGCAAACATTTATTTGCTCATCAGAATATATGCATATGTATTTTTTATCCTTGTAGGTTTCATAGTATTTTTATTCACTTTAAACAACTCAGTGGGCAATTCAGTGACGTTTAAATATATTAGTTTCACTGAAAGAGATTTACTAAGTCTTTTAAAGGTACTTGTGTGATTTGGATGAAATCTCAGTAGTTGTTATGTAGTTTCATTTTTTGCTTTTGCTTTTCACATGAGAATGGCAACATTATCATTTTTAGAAACAGGAATTTCACTGTTGTACTGGTCATCTGAGAGGATTATGAATTAATATATTTCATCTAATAAGGAGCTTTTTATTTTTTTTATTTCATACATTATCATGTAGATAGTTTCATCCTATCCTTACAATAAACAAGATGAATTTTTAATGATCACAAAATAATTAATATGCCTAGGGCATGTGGCATCTGCTGGCATAAGCAATACTGACAGTTGTTTTCCAAAGCCAAACATGGATATCAGGACAAAGGAATTAAGTGCTAAACATATTAACATTTGATAAACTTTAATATTTTTCATTTTAATATTGTGGAATTTGTATGTTTGGATTTGTGCAGTGCAGTTAATTTGAAAAAAATTGGAGTCAATTGGGGGTGTTAAACATGGATTATTTCAGTTATCAAAAAAGAAAATCAGGCCTTTTATGTAATAATAAAATGGTTTTTGTAATTACAGGAATGAGTTCAAGCATAAAAATCAGGAAATTTATTATTGCTATTTTGAATAAGAGAATTAAAATAATGAAATAACTTGTGGTGTAGATTTGTAAATGATTAAAAGCTTAAGATAGAATCCAGTCTCTAGATGAATTAGTTTCATTCCTGAAGCCTTAACGGAGAAGGTGTGAATAACATCTAAAATAAAGGATTTTTATACAGAGAGGTTTTAGAGAAAACTTGTCAAAATTATTCCCAAATGTTATACGTGAGCTTGCTATATTTGATTGTGCTAGGGGTTTCAGCCCTAGCCCTACTCTTGGAGGTCACACGTGTCCTCCCATTCATTTTCTGAATTTATATACCTTTAATCTGTTTACCCCATCCCACCTCTAACAGCTGCCAAGGTCTTCCTTTCTTTCCAGAACCTGGTTTGCATGCTTTATCTCCAAGAAAGCTTGAAGGCAAGGATTGAATAGGGATTATGAATATAAAGGCAGACAAACACCACAATTTCTTCTTCTTAGGTCCACCTAGAAGAAGTCACCTGGTCAAGTCAGGTGAGAAAGGCTTCTGGAGTGTGTGTCAAAAGCTAGAAGCTCTGATTGTCTGAATCAGAGGAGTGTCAGCCTTGCAAGATAGTCTAGATGAGAAGCACATCCAGGAATACCAGCTCTATCTTTGTATGTTGCAAAGTACCCCTCCTGTCCCTCACTTTTTACTTTTCCCAAAACTAGGGAGGGTCCCTTCTGAGTCACTTTTGCCCCTCCTCTTCCTTTGGATTGAAATTTCATTTATCAGATGATCTATCCTTTCTGACTCTTCCTCCTGTCTCCCAAGATCATTCCCATATACACTATTACAAGTTCTCACTCTCAGAGAGAGGAGAGAAAGAAAAGGAGATTCCCATCACATCCTTCTTCCATTGTATGAGCTGGGGCTTCTAGAGGCAGCCCAAGTGCTGGGAAACTCAAAAGAAGCAACAGCAGCTCCAGTAATAACTTCAAGGGGAAGATAGCAATGAAGCCACAATGAAGCTTCCAGGGCTGGAGTTTGATTTTCAAAATCAAAAAATGGGCACTACTGCTCTTTAATGTTTATTTTAGGAAATTATAATAGTATGCAGTACAGAATTATTATAGTAACTATCATATTTTAACTTCTCAACATGTAGGATGTTCTGCTGTATTTAAATCCAAATGCTTTGAGCACTTAAGTTAGGTATTCCAAGTATTCTCCAGTAAACATGGACCCTAAACCCTATTATAATGTATGGAAGTGGATATATAAAATCAGTATTGATTGCTTGGCTTGGCTGAGAAAAAAAATAAATGATCTGTACAAAGTACATCTTTTCAGTTGTCATATTCCTTGATAGCATGTAATGTAATCTTGGAGCAAGTAGTTACTAACATTGACATGAACTAGAGTTATGAGTATTAATTTTCCTATAATATCCAGTTTGAGTATCTTTTTTAATCTGGAAAAAGGAATTAGAAACACTGGATCACAGAAGGTAACTAACTGTGCCAAAGTATCATTTATTCTTCTACAAGAGATACACACACGCACACACACCAAATCTTTAATGCAGAAACTACTACAGTGTATCTGACAGGTGACCATCTAATGTTTTTTGGAGCCCTCCAGTTGTTTAAAGACCCCAAATTATCAGTTTCTGCAGTTGATGTATTATAATAATAGTCAACCTGCACAGGATAAATGTCATGAAAATTCTTTGACTCATAGTAATTGCTAAATTGCTAGTAAAATTATGATTGGTTTCATTTTGTTGTTATTTAGGGTAACACCCAAAATACTTATGAAATAAACTTCATGTAGAAGAAAACTTAAAAACATTGAATATGCATAAATAAGTTAATTTTTCTGAAATCTCCTCTTCTTTACCAAAATCTTGCTTTGCTGAGTAAGATGGAAGGTATATAATTTAATATATAAATAAATAATTTTAATAATATCAAGATGGCATTTTCAGTGGCACTTTCCATAGACTGTTTAAAGTGATTTGGGATTGCATGTAACAATAAAATGTAAGATTTTTAAAATATAAATTCGGACTAAATTGCTTCACCTAGAAGATGCATTTTGATAGTAAGAGTACCCTTTATGGAACTGTTGAGATATATCATACAGAATCATCTGATCTTCTGCTTTCTATTGCATAATGTGTTTAATGTTTTATTTGGTTTTTTTTTTGCCAATCACATTAACTGTTTCTGAGGCTTCTCAGGACAAAGGAATAATGAAAATTCCTTTTGCTTTTCCATCAAAGCATAGACTTTTTGCCTGTAATAGTAATAAGTAATATCCCCAATACCATAAATATACTTTTAGGTTGCAAGCATCATATCTCTCCTTTCTGACTCCATTTTTCTTGCTTACACTTGTGACCCGGAACATCACTATCCATGCACAAGAGGGCAAATTTGAAGTGAACATGTAGTTTGCTGAATTACCCAAAGGAAACATTAGAGAGGGAATTTTTTAAAAAAACTAATGAAAACTGCATAAAGAAGGATAATATAATTGATTAGTGTTTGCCAATGTTGGCAACATTAAAATGACTTCAGCTCCCAGAATTCTAAGGAAACTGGAAAAGGCGGGCTATGGGAGATACTGTAAATATTAAAAGGATAACAAGTTTTCTTGTGCATCAGTCATTTTCTGATTGATACTAAGAAGTTATTTTAAAATTTTCCCGCTTGTGCGGTGGGTTGGACTAGATGACCTATAAGGTTCCTTCCAACTCTGATTATCTGTTATCTGTTTAAAATGTCTTCAACAAAAGACATTGCTTAAAAATCAAGGAATAAATCAAGGAGTTCATGGAACTGGGACTGAGAACAGTTTTTGCAGACATCCTCATAAAAATTGCAAATCCCAACCACCTCCAATTATCACAGAGGAGTGAGCCCGGCTAGTGGCACAGAATGCTGAACAACAATTGGAAGTGAGTTTGGATGGTAGAAAAAAGTGACTAAAAACCATGAAGCTTCTATTTTGCAACATTTTATTCTACATTCTCAGTTGAATCTCATTAGATCAGTAGATTCAATAAAGAGTTGAAAAATCTTTGAACAACTTACACTGAGACCACAAATTTTAATTTTAATACATGAGTGATCTCTGTGAGATTAATCAAAATTTTCCTTCATCATACTTTTATTACACATTTATATAAACTGTATCATTAATAGAAACTGGAACAGGCCACCTTAAAATATTCCTGAACTAATATAGAAGTATTGATTTGGACTGATATTTTTTATCCTAAACACATTTTTTTAATCCCATGAAAGTACATTTAGTAATTCAATTATATTGTAAACTGCCCAAGTCTCTCCATCAGTGAGTTGGCTGGCATAAAATTTTAATAAATAAAATAAACTGATTTAGGACATCATGTAACTTCATTCAGACTTTTATCACATAATACTAACTTTAGGACTTGTATGAGCTATGAAATAGGTCTTACAGTAACCATAATTCTAAAATGGAGATTTTCTAAGGAAACATACCTTTCAAACATGCCTGTTTGAAAGAAATCCAACTTGACAAATATTTTAACAGGGTTGTGCAAATCCTTTGAAAGAGATGCTTTGTAACATATGATTGTGCTTAAAAAGCATGATTCCTAGATTTATAAAGGCAGCTCACATGCCTGCTTCTTCCCTTTACCTATTACTTCGGTTTCCAGAAAAAGAAATACCTGCCTTAATTTTCATTGTACACGCTGTCATGTGATATACAGCACTTCTTTGAAAGGCTTTGCGCATTTGTAAGTAAAAACATGATGACAAATACCAGCCTGTCCTAGTTAAAAAAAAATAGAAAACAGATTACATAGAATAATATGGAATAGCTTATTATTGTTGGAGGTAACTTTTGAGTGTCAGATTTTTATTTTAAACCAATATTTTTAACTGGCAAATGATAAATTATATTCACCATATTTATATAATATTCTGTTTTATTTTTACCTTAAAATAATAAAGGGTGTTGCTTAGCATCTCGGACCTTGGGATCTTACACTTTTCTTTTCTATTGAGACTCAGAGTCAATAGAACTTAAAATCTTAGTTTTTTTCTGTTGAAAATTTTCTTCTGTATAATGATATTTATACATGAAACTACTCACTATGCATCAATTTCATTCTTGTGGAATTCACTCTGACTTTTTAAAAATAAGTAGAATGCTTTCTTCTTGTCCCTCTGAGCTTGACTTTCTATGTTTTGTTAACTACTACATATAGAAGTAGATATTATACATCTTTCTTTACATTATTGTTTGGCTGCTAGACAGTAATCATTGTAATGCTCAGAATTATCATAAAAATTGCCCTCATCCCCTTTTATTTTAAATCTTCGTTCACATTTAAGAAGGAAGGACTTCTTAAGGCAGAAAGTATCTTTTCTCTTGAGGGCAAAACAAGAAAAGTTTAGCATTTCTACCTGAACAACACTTCGGGGCTGTTGTTTATTTCCATGCTGTTTCCACAGTTGGCACAGTTGGTAAATCTAATATTTAACTTGGGTCTTCTTCCTCCTTTCAATTTAAATTTAGAACCACTCTGAGTCATTGAGAGTTGGATGGCAAGCAAGTTTAATAAATTATCATCATTATGGCATAATGTTACATTCCATATAAAGTAAAATTACCAAAGTGGTGTCTTGGAATCTGTGTTTTTCCATGGAGTAGTGGAAAAATATGCTAGGAATGGGCATTCAACAAACTTTTAGTGTGAAGTATCTGATCTGAGCACCCATCTTTAAAATAATTGTAAATCCATGTAAATGTATAAGCATCACACAGTGAACAAACAAATCTTGAACATAGCATTGGATTAATTATTTTTGTATGTAAAATTAAATTTAGTTTCCTTTGTCATGATTATATGAAATCTATTATCTTTCACATAATTATCATGTAATAGTAGCAAAAACGCAGACAGCATACTTGAAGTCCTTGAGTATGACTAAAAAACATTTAAATAGATTTTGAGAAATGCATAACCATTATTTTAAAAAAATAAATCCTATCCAGTATGGCCATTTTATATAAACATTTTACAGGATAACACACACATAGACAGACAATTGTTCATGTGTATAATTATGAATATATATTAAAATGCCCATAGATCTCCACAAAAATACAAATTTATAATGAAACTAGTTGCTTTAACTTCTAATTCTTCCATTATAAATCATGAGCTATGTTCAGACTTGGACATGTTTAAAGTAGGTATCAGTGAAATCCATGGAACATAAAATTATGGATGATTACATTAAGTACCATTGCTCCAGTAGGCTTACACTAAATCTGGTTTCAGCCACATTAAAATAGAAATCTCTTCATCGACTTCCAGGCAGTATAAATTACATTCTTACCTGAGCATGAAGCCCACTGAAAAATACAGAAATTGCTTTTGAGTCAGTGTGCATAGAGTTTAATTTTAACTGTGTAGTTCTGTAACAATTCCTGGGCTATCACAACATGCAAAATTAATCTTCGGGCTGCCAGAAAAAAAGTCCTGCAATGCATTAGGGAAAATGGCTATTGATTCCCCAGGTCTTGTTTTGGTCTCTAATCTATGGTATTGCATGTCCTGGGCAGGCAAGCGTGGGCGTCGCAGCAGTGCAGGATCGCTAGACAGCAATATGGAAGTAAGTAGGAAGTTACTGATGTCTAGCTGGATGTGATGTGCATTTCAAACCTTTATTTTATATACATATTTTGCTCTTTTTTTCTTCTAACATACAACCTGCCTGCCTCAAATAAAATGCATGACAAGGCTTTATAGTTTTAGCCTTTAAAAACCAACACTACTTCTGGTATGTTTAGATCATGCATCATTTTTTTTATTTCAGCTGCTGTTCTCCCCTTCTGTTCCTGCAAGCATGACTAAATGAATACAATGTGCCCTTTTGCCACTGTCACTCTGGTCCCTGTGTAAAGGCCCGATGATTCTTTGTTACACAGTGCACTTATTGTGCTGTTTGTTATTTAACGCAAAGTATTGAATTCATGCTTAGTCATTCACATTGCTTACTTTCTGGCTAAATTGTGAAATGTATGCAGTCGTGACATCATGGAATTGCATAGACAGGGCATGGGAAAAGAAAACAAAACAGGGTGAATTCAATGTGGATTTCATGAGATTTCATTCATCTTCAAACCATTTTATACTGTTCATGTCTTTGAATTCAGCCTGCAGTTTTGTGTGTGTGTATGTGTGTGTGTGTGTGTGTGTGTGTGTGTGTGTGTGTGTGCGTGCTTGCGTATGTATGTATGTATGTATGTATGTTAAAACTGAATAGAGTGCAGTCCACATATAGTACACAAAGCATCTGCAGTTAATTGTCTATAAAGAAAACAAAAGAATCCAGGAACTAACAAGAAAGTTGGATAGCTAAAAGATAAAATAGTTGAAAATACTAGGCAGCACATCAGCCTGCAAAAAGATAGAAGCAATCCATTTGCAAGAAAATATTTATTTTCTACATTACAAAGAGAAACAGGCTATTTTAATTATAATTCTATTGAAAATTTTACCATGAAATCTGACTACTAATAGCATATAACTGCCTTCAGGTTAGTTCAACATAAATGTATATATTTCTGTCCTTGAAGAGAAAAATAAATAACATGACTATATTTTTAGTAGGGTAAAGAATGTAAAGCAAAATCAAAGATTTTGTGGTAACGGATTACTTTTTATTATTTAATAATTTCAGGGTTCTTTATTTTAAGAAAGCCACCAGTATTTGTTAATGGATCATACTTAGTATTTCCCACTTACAACTTGAAAAAAGAAATTGGCAGAAAAGAGACAGATTTCTCCTGCAGTTCATAAAGCTATTTCTCCATATGAGCTTTCAAAGAAAACATGATGGTCACTGTGAAATTTTTCTTTTACACATATTTTTAAGATTTTTTTTAATTTTTATTTTCTATTAATTTCTTTTTAGGGGTCCATCATTAACAGTCCTCATATGCGCCGAAGAGCTACATCAACCCGAGAGTGTCCATCTCGCCCTCACCAGACTATGCCTAATTCTTCCTCACTACTAGGGTCCTTATTTGGTAGTAAGCGAGGAAAGCCTTCCCAAGGCCATTTAGTATCCGGCCCACCACTGCCACCTCAGCACCCTCCCATAATGTCACACTCGCAGCACTCTCAACATCCTCCTGCCATGCACCACCCGGGTCCAGCTGAAGGGCAGACCCAGGCACAAGTGCACAGCCATCACTCTCAGTACTGCCATATGCAGAATCCGCCTCCTTATCACCATCACCATCACTATCATCCGCCCCAGCACATCCAGCATCCGCACCAGTACCATCATGGGCCACACTCGCAGCATGTAGCTCATGCCCAGCATTCGTACCTGCCACATTCCCACACCCCATATTCCCACGCTCCCCATCCTCCCTTGCCCCCTCATTTGGCACATCCTTCCCATGCTTCCCATCACCATGCACAGCCAGTAGCCCCTCCTACTTCAGCCAGCACGAAGTCCAAGCATAGCGGCATCAGCACAATAGTCTAGAAGCCAGCCAGCCATCCAGCCACAGCTGTAGCTCTAGGCCTAGATGTAAAAGCACTTACAGGAAACAGAAGCAGCCTATAATTCTGGTTATTTTTTTAATTTATTTTAAAAGATCCAAACCAGAAGCAACTTAATTGACTCCTTTGCCTTAAGGATTCAATGCATATTAACCTCACAGTGCTGGTCTTACAGTTCGGTGGTGACCTTTTCCCTCCTTTTTCTCTAGTAGCCTTGAAAATATGCTGCTTGCTGAAAACGTTAAGCTACCTTTTTTCATCCGCATGACCATTTTTAACAAGTAATGAAAACATAACTTACTCAAAATAAAAGGAAAACTATGAAATAAAATTAATGTGGCATTCTTGCTCTTTAATTTACAATGGGCAAAAAAAGTAGACCTCATATGGTTGATGAAAATACGTAAGTAAACTCTATGTAATATAAATATATAAATATAGACATATACATACATACACACACACACACACACACATATATATATATATATATATATATATATATATATATATATATATATATATATATACATATATATACACACACACATACATACAGAAAGAGAGCGAAAGAGAGAGAGAGAGAGACTGTATAGCTAACATTTATGCTTAGAACAAAGCTTTTTTAGTCCACAAAGCTAGCAATATATACTTTTCCATATATTTCCCTTACTGATAAAGGGGCAGTAAAATAGAGGAGTAGCAAACGGAAGTGTAGACCAAAAAACTAAAGAACAAATTCCAGGCATTTCAGTACACATTGAAAGTTATCTGGATTTGAGAAAATAAAATCTTTAAGCAATCTTTGCAAAATGTGCCAAATAACATAGCATATAACTTTTGCAAACAAATATGCTTTGTACTTTATTAGTATAATAATATACTTATTCAGTATTATAACTGCTCTGCTATTTCAGGTAAGCAAACTAGTTAAGATGCAGTAACTATATTGTAGCAACACGAGACAACCTTTACTATAGGTTTTCTCTACATTGTGGTTCCTCCAGTTCTTAAGACACTTTAAAGGCTGTGATAACTGTGAACTTACATAGTTTACATTTCTTTTGTATTTGTGTATGTTTTAATAAACACACACAAAGATTTACATAGAAGGTATTTACATACGCTGCATGAACATTCATCTCAGACCCTGAAATAACCAACATCCATTCTTTTCGGCCACATTGCCTCTTTACCATTTAATACTCAGTTTTTATCAATGAAAACTTCAGACTTTTTTTCCACATGAAAGCAATCAGAAACTTGAAAGTTTATTTTAGTATTGAATATAGATTTTTATAATTGTAATTCCATGTAGCCATGTGCTGGCAGCAGGATTTTCTCACCATTTTTCTCATCACATTTGTTAGTTTTATCCAGCACTCAGCAGGCTGAGTCTATGCTCAAACTGTCATAGTCCAGTTAGTCCAAGACATTTTGTAAAATCCAACTGTGCTGTTGTTGCTTATGTGTTGTACTGAGTCATTTGCAAGACCATATGACATTTCTTTGTAAACCTAAGTCCTATTTTTTTAAAAAATAAAATCATACATGGAGCATACTTTGTAGTTTCAGCATTTTGAGCCACCTCAATCACGACTTTACATCTAAAAGGCAGAAACAAAAGGAACCGCAGAGCTGCACCAGCAGAATTGTGAATGTTGATTTAAAAGAAGAAGAGGAAAAATGTTCCCGTGAAAGATGGACAAAGCCAAACAAAAACTGATTATCGCTTCTGAAAGAAGTCATAACGTATGAAACAGCTTCCCTATACTGGTGATTTCTGATCTCCAGTTTTCTTCCCTCACTTTCTAATTATGAATTATATGGAGTACCAGCAAAAAAGCTCAGTAGTTTTGTTAACTTTCATTCACCAGAAACAACCATTTAAGAGAGTTGATGTTTAAATTTGAAAATTATTTCTTATGCAATATACAACACCTTTTCCTGTCCTTGGTTTTCCCTCAATCTAATTTAACTTCATAGGAAATTTTAATAAAAATAATATTATCATCCAAGCTGTCCTAGATTGTGCAGATTACCTAAGAGGGAACATCACAAACCAAGGATCTCTTCATATTTAAATTTGGGTTTCCTTCTTATAAGGAATAATACAACTGTATGCATGTCATCTAATGTTAGTAGTATTGAAGCTACACTCTCCATAACGTATATTTGCAAAGTATTTCAGTGTTACTGTTGATATTAGTTGAAGTAAAGTGTTAACATATTTAAATATGTCAGCTTTTCTTCAAACCTTTGTACCAATAGTAGAGTTGAATTGTAACTTATAAGTTGTTCCAGAAAAGATAAGATAGGACATTTTTTTCCTTTATGTTGCTCATTGTATAATTTGCATATATCAAACTCAAAGCAATGGGCTGGATAGTCATTATTTTTTACATTTCAAGCATTAATATCTGTATTATCTATTGCATATTTTAAAAATGCTATCCATCTTTTATACTCATTGTTTTGATATTCCAGGAAAATCAAAGATTTTATGTTTATAGATTCATATGCATTTAGTTAGATACAAGTTTTATCTTTTATAATTATACAGAAAAAGTAATCACCACACATTTTGATGATTAGCAAATATAAAAAATAATCAATAAACCCATTCAGTCAATATGTTATTGCATAAAAATCCAGTGTTATTGCCATTTAGACAATACATCCAAAGAAGAGAAATACCTTTAGGTTTAAAACTAAAAAAGAAAAACACTTCTCCATGTTTTGGAAAATGAAAGTAATAATTATTACGATTTATATGCTACTGAAGAAAATAGATTTAATTTTTTAAAAGGTAGATATTGGAAAGTTTTAATTATGTTTTCCTTATTGATTAAAAACCAGTATAAAGCACTACTGAACCATCTCTTTCTCTCAGTGAAAACTCTTTAAGAAAAATGGACCTTGTAAAAATATCTTTTCTGGGACAACCATCAATTATATATTTCTTTTAATTAAGAATGAAATGTAAATCAATGTAAAGAAAACCAAAGTTATCCTATTATAATGTAAATGTCTTGTATTGCTAAAAGTCTTACAGCATAACTTGTAGGATGATTTTCCCATCAAGCACTGCATGCAGCTGAATCCTCGTTTCTTGATTTTTAAATGAGCTGAAAAGCAGTCAGCAGCTACTTAACAATGACACTTTACATGCTGACTTGCTGTTTCATATACAGCTGTGCATTTTCTGCAATTAAGCATGAGTGTAGCTGTTTCCATTGTAAAATATCATCCCACCTTGCCTGCAAAAAAAGTGTGTACATAGTTCAGAGAAAAAATGACCATAAGATAACAATTTTGAAGGAGGGGAAAAGGGAGTGGAAACAGGACCAAGTAGGAAGAATAATTAATTCTCTAAACTGTATATAGTGTGTAAATTAGTATTAATATAAGTCTGCAGTCACTTTTCAGGTTACACACAGTACCTGTCCCTGCTAGGAACTAAATCCCAGCTTTGAATAGTATTAAACTGTTAGAATTAGACTGAATGCAGACTGTTAAAAAGACTTCAAGAAACATCATGCTCATGAGAAGCTTCTGTAAAGGGAGATTCAAGAGATTTTGTAACTGTTGGAAAAGAAAGAGTGCTTTCATTTTAATATGCATTTGTTTGTAAGTAGTATCAGACTTTATTGTTGTTAAACTATAACTGTGATTATGTGGGAAATCAAATAAATCACTTTCAACTCACCCAGTTTCTCATTCTTTGTAGAACATATATTTTTTCATATTAATTGAATAAAATTATTTATGCCACTTTAATTCTTGGAAATCTCATTTTGCATTGTTTTACATTCAAAATAAGGAAAGGATTACTTGCATTCATTCCAGATAATGGATTGAGTAATGTACATAGTATTATTGTTTATCCTGCAATTTCACCATAGATCCTCTGCTTCACATCAATTATTTTTCCATTATTATCATAAAAGGAATATTAATGTTGATGTTAATGACACAAGGAACATTAAAAAAAAAGAAACTGTAGGTTTGATTTTGGCTGCTCAAGAGCCAGCTAGTTGAACTAATGAATAGAATTGAAAAAGATTCGAAGTGCAGTGTGTATGTGAAGAAGCAGAAGAAACAATAGATAACACACTCAGCTCATGCAAGATCACACAAACTGACTTTTAATGACATAACCTAGTGGCCAAAATGATTCACTGGAGCTGTATTACTGGAACATGTACCAGTAATGTCTGAAAAGGTGCTTTTTCAGGAGACTAAATGGAATTCCATTCCTCATTATCCTGCCAGAGCTGAAGAAGCTTCTTGGTTGAGAAGCAAAATGTCGTCAAAAGAAAAAACAAAGTCCAGTTGCCTCCTGAAAAAGCACCTTTGGGACAGCCATGACATGGATGACTGAGAACCTCTACAGACATGTACTAGTAATGAAAAATTGGCGGGAACATACAGTTGAAAAAGTAGTCAAAAATGAGTGAAAATATTTCAGAATTTTCAAATCGGACTGATAAAGTCATAGTTCATAACACACTAAATTGCCCACACTTTATTCAGTGTAAGCAATTGATATGTAATACCAGGTGACAGTAAAGTCAACAAAATTGGAGAATATCACAAAAAATCAAAGTCGAAAGATTATGGCATAAACCGGCCATGGTGGTCCAAGTGATTATCAGAACAATGAATGCCATACGAAAAAATCTTGGATGGCATCTAGAAAATCTGCATCTGAAATGTTCATCTGTCAATTGCAAAAGGCCACACTGGTTGGACACTATGCTGATACAGTATGACCTACCTATCTACTTTCTTGGAAGAACTTGATGCGTATAGAAATTCATCAGAATTGGGGATTGAGAAGTATGAATGTGTTTCTCCAGTAATTTTCATCTCAAGGGTGGGGGATTTTTTGTAATCTAAGATCCAAAAATGGTCTTTGGGTAAACATACTTTTCAAGGAATACTCAAATATGCAGGCTGGTTTTTGGAGAAGCTAATAAATTATTCCATATATCTTTTTGTTGTGTCTTTGAATTGGGTTTTGGTTTTTTTGGATCTCTGTAAACTGGAAAAGTCTTTGCAGTTTTCTTCGCAAGATTTTTCCTAAATATTTTGCCATTGCCTTTTTCCTAGGGCTGAGAGACGGGCTGGCCCAAAGTATCAGCTGGTTTTGTCTGTAAGACAGGACTAAAGCTCATGTTTCCCAGTTTCTGGCCTGATGCCTTAATCACTACACCATATTGGCTCTATCTCAGATTTGAGGGAAGCAAAAATAGTTTTTACATTACAATTCAGAAATATCCTTTTTAAAAAGCCTGGTTACTGTAGTTTTATTCTATGGGATTTAGGCTTATAAAAATAGACTACAGATAATCCTTGATTTACAACAGTTCATTTAGTGACCCTTCAAAGTTACAACTGCAATGAAAAAAGTGACAATTTTTCACATTTAAGACAGTT